TGTGTGTGTGTGTGTGTGTGTGTGTGTGGCATAAAGCATCAGCTGAGGAGGAGAGAAGGGGGCAGGGAGGGAGAAACGAAGCAATTGCGTGTACAGGAGAAGAGGACAGCATCCTTGCTGGCTGTGGGGGTGTGCGTAGGCCCGTGTGCGTATGTGTGTGCGTCCTTTTGTGTGCGTGTTGCGTAATAGAGCCATTCTGTGGGTCCACGGATGATTACGCCACAGCATAGCGGTCACAGTGACGAGGCAGGAGGAGGAGATGCGAGGTTGGATGCTTCAGTTCTGTTCTGCTTTTACCCTTGAAAGTAGCAGCTTGTTTTTTGTTTTTTTTTTTTTTCATTATTATTGAATCTTAGATGTTGCTGTTTTGGTTTTCACAGTGAGCAGATGTTAGTTCTGCCTTTTTTTGGGTACATTTCCCGGTTCTGCTGCAGCCGCGCTTCGGTCGTCTCGCTCTCTTTTCTGCTGACGGAGGAGCGACTCCGTCCGCCTGCACCCGTCAGAGCTGAGCATCACTTTGTCTCCTCCCTTGTCATGGATGCAGGAGCTGGAGAGCAGCGTGGAAGGTTGGACCGATGACCTCACTTCCTTGTTCCTGCTGAGGGATTCCTTRGAGGGCGTGGTCAGTGGCGATGACATCACGGCCTTACAGGAACGCCTCCAGCTGCTGCAGCGCCAGTGGGAGGAGGTTTGTCACCAGGTAGATTAACACAATGAAGGTGTTTGAGTTTTTTTTCCTATTCAGTTCTTAAGGAGTTTATTCTGAAACATTATATTTACTTAAAATTTTATATTTTTAATAACTTAAAATATTTTTTTCTAATTTAGCTTCCTCCTGTTTGTTTTCAGGAATAGCTGCACAGAAAAACTGTGTCTTAACGAAAAAATAAACGATTTTCCCTTTACGTTTTCAAATTTTTCTAATTATCTATTCATCCCTTATTCAATTTGTGTTCATCCTTTTCCTTTGACCTTCTCTTTAATCTTATCACCTTCCCACCTTGTTTCCTCACCTGTGCCCTCAGCTGTCGTTGCGGCGGCAGCAGGTGAGTGAAAAGCTGAACGAGTGGGCCGTTTTCAACGAGAAGAACAAGGAGCTGTGCGAGTGGCTCACGCAGATGGAGAGCAAAGTCTCCCAGAATGGAGATGTCAGCATCGAGGAGATGATTAAAAAGCTGCGCAAGGTCATTTCAGCAAACAGCCTTCACCGAAAGTTGACCACAAAGTCTCGAGAGGTTTTATCACACTCGTGTGCTTTTTATTTTTATTTTTTATCAGGACTACCAAGAGGAGATCAGTGTCGCCCAGGAAAACAAGCAGCAGCTGCAGGTGATGGGTGAGCGTCTGGCCAGGGCCAGCCAAGACAGCAAGGCGGCTGAGATTCAGCACAAGCTCAGCAAAGTCAGCGAGCGCTGGCAACACCTGCTGGACCTGATCGCAGCCAGGTGGGTTTGAAGGACTCCTGAGACCCCTTTTAAACCTAGAAAAAGAGGGCAGAGCTTTGCTTGCCTCCCTGACAGTGGCTGCAATTTTAAGGCAAACTGGAAACCTAAGCAGAAAACTAATCTGCAAAAAGAACTGATTGATATGTGGTCAGGAAGTGATCTCTCACAGCTATTAATGCTCTTGGGGGCCGATTTAGCAACAATTAGCATGTGTAAAAAGACTAGCAAACTTAATAGTGCACGCAAAGCTGATTTATAATGGTGCACAGTAAAAACTGCTTCTGTCAGATGAGTCAAATAGCAGCTGCACACACCACATTAGCACCTGTTATTATTTGTTCTCTTAGTAAATCCCACAACACACCCACATTCAGCACAGACTGTTTTTTAATCTGGGCAGCAAATTCGTACTGGTTATCTGGGATCTTGATAAATCCGCTCCTGTAGCTTTAGTGCCTGGTTTTGTTTTTTTTCGGCTCTGTGAGGCCGAACATTTAAGGCACGTCTTGGCCTCGCTCTGTAACAAAAGGAAGATTTTTCTTTCCCACGATGCAGCTGAGGCATTTCCTGAGTTTCTCGTCGGTGTCAGTGGGACATCTCACTCTGAGCGGAGATAGTTCTTCATTTCTTCTCAGCTGCCTCCCTTTGTTCTGAATGCACAGACGTTTGGAGTTAGAGCCAATTGATCGTTTGTGAGTTTTTTTTTTTTTTAATTTGTTCTGCCTTTTTGGGGAATAAACTCCGCCTCCGGTTCTGCAAAGTGACCTGACCTAAAGTTTGACTCCCAGCTGCCCTCCTCGGCTGTCCTCCGGCTGTTATGCTCTGGAGGAGGAAAGAAAAGGGTGGGGGGCTGTTTCTGACCTCACACAGGCAGCTGCACCTTCTTTGTCCTTTATTTCCTCCACATTCACAAAAAAAAAGAAAAGGAAAATCAGTTGTTGCTATGATTTATAGCTTTCTTTTCCTCTTTGTGGACAAGTTGATTCATTGAATTTACCTTTTTTTTATAATAATTTGACTTTATTAAATCCTCATGAAAGAATATGTTACTAGAAAGCATTAACTTTGTGTCTGCGCGTGTTGTTGTTCTCCCTCCACTCCCTCGGTGTGTATTTACTGTCTGATACTCTGACACAGATCAGCTCTGCAGCACATGCCTCTGACTGTACGGCTCGTTTTAGAAGACGCCACATTTGTCACTCTCACACGCACACACATGCGCGCCTGTTTGGGCCTTTCTTTTTTTAAACTCTGGAGAGCAGCCGTTGATAAGTCAGAGTTTTTCCACCCCGCCTCCACCTGCCGACCCCCTCCACCCTCCGCGCACAGACTTTAGAGAAAGTTTCACGCGGAGCAGACGTGTGTTTGGATTCGACACGCTTCCCGACTCTGCCGTCGTCTCGTGGGATTCCACAACTCCATGGTTTTGGATTTAGAAACGGACGATATGGCAGAGTGTTCGAGTGAGGAAGAGGAGGATCTGCCAGACTGTGACTGTGATGTCAACAGGCAGGAGGATTTTTGAGATTTTATGCTGTAGAGGAAAAAAAATCATCTCTCAACCCTAACTATGCAAGGCCACTTTTCATGTTGTCCTTCTGTTTATTACTTTGTGTCTTGTTGCACTGTGTGCTGCAGGGTCAGAAGAATTATTTTTTGCTTGTCAGGCAGTTTCTTTTTAAGCAAATCTTTCTTCGTGGTCTCGTGATGGTGACTGGCATGTGGTCAGAATAATCTCCCATTGCTTTTTTTTTAAACAAACAAGTGTCTACTTCCAGCACATTAAGAAACGAGTGGAGGAACTCCGACTTTACAGATCTACAGGGATCTTTGTCATTTATCAGAGTTGTTTTGTGTTTTGACTCTTAACTTTCTGAACGTTTTTTTGTTTTGGTTTTTTCAGGGTGAAAAAGTTGCGGGAGACCCTGGTGGCGGTGCAGCAGCTGGACAAGAACATGAGCAGCCTGCGTTCCTGGCTGTCCCACATCGAGACCGAGCTCTCCAGGCCCATCGTCTACGACACCTGCAACAGCCAGGAGATCCAGAGAAAACTCCACCACCAACAGGTGAGTCGTCTCACAGAAACGATGGATCTTTTCACACACTTTAACAAAAATAATCACCTTTTTATCTGAGGCGGTTTGCAGAAATTCATCATTAAAGGGATCCGTGATTAGTTGTAACATTAGACTTTAATTGATAAACATTTATTTTAACTGTAAAATACAGACTGTAAAAATACTGTAGGCTGTTTAGTTTTGTAAATTTTTAAAAATATATTTTAACACGGATGGAGCCATTTTATTTACACACAAAGCATTCTGGGTAAATGATGACGTGGATAGGTCGTCGGTGTGAGCGAGCTATATCCACCCTGAAGGTTAATCTTGGACAATATCTGATGATCGACTCTTTTAAATGAAACCAGAGAGCGTTGACAGAGAGGAGAAGGTAGAAATGACTCAGCCTGGAACTGAAAATATGGATGGAGGACAACAGAGCTGCTTCATGGAAGAAGAACCTCAGCTTAGCCTGTTAGCTTTAGTGCAGACGCTATGTTGCCTTATCTGTATTAGCTCGACGCTAGCTCAACAAACAAGCTAAACTGAGGCTGAGTGATTTTTGCGTTCCCCTCTCTGTCATGTGGATGGAGGACCTCAGTGATGAGAGGAGAATGTGTAGCGCTGAGCTAATACATATATATGTTGATAGCATTGGGGCTAACGCTAAAGCTAACAGGCTAAGCTGGGGTTCTTCTTCCATGAAGCAGCTCTGTTGTCCTAAATCCATATTTTCAGTTACAGGCTGAGTCATTTCTACCTTCTCCTCTTTGTCAACGCTCTCTGGTTTCATTTAAAAGAGTCGATCATCAGATATTGTCCAAGATTTACCTTCAGGGTGGATATAGCTCGCTAGCAGCCTTACACCGATGACCCATTCACGTCATCATTTACCCAGAATGCTTTGCGTGTAAATAAAATGGCCCCGTCCGTGTAATATATTTTTAAACTTTTAGTTTAAAAATAATAAAAACTGAACATCCTACAGTATTTTTACAGTCTTTATTTACAGATAAAATATATGTTAATCAAATAAAGTCTAATGTTACAACTAATCATGGATCCCTTTAAGTAGCAACGCTCAAACATCTGCATAAATAAATGAAAGAAAACGGGCAAATTTGTGTTTTAGATGTATTTTTAAATCCTAACTTGTGTCAGAAACTGAGCAGCACTCGTTGGCTTACAGTAGGTGTCATTTGAGTTCCTGCAGCCAAGATGCTGCTCTAAATCTGAACTTGTCCATCAGACCCCACTGACCTACTTCCTGTCCCGAGCAGAGCGAGACTGCAGCCAAGTTTAATGTAGCTTAGTGAGAAGGCAGACAATCTTTCTGTATTTGGTATCTCTTCTGGTTTAATGAGTGGAACTTTTCTTAACACTGGACCAGGGGTGTTAAACTCATTTTCACTGAAGGACACATGAGCGTTATGTTGGCGCTCAAAGAACCAGTCATAACTAACTTTGTTTCATGGTTAACCTCGTCTCGTTACGGCTGAGCACCGATAACAAAAACTGAGCTCTACCTGGTATTTCCTGCACAGAAACAGCTTTTTAACACGTTCTCTTATAAACACTGAAAGTACTTTGTGTACAACTGACTAAATGTGAAATAAATCATACAATAATACTGTTAAAAGTAAAAAGTAAAACCATTTCTGGTCACTTTTATCACTGGATCTAATTGCACTACTCCAACTATATTGTCTGCTCTGATTACTGTATTGAACTGGTGTTCATATGTTTTTATATATTTTATTGTATTTTTCCATTATCCTTTGTACTTTCTTTATTTGTTATATTTTAGACCTATTGCACCTTTACACCGAAGCAAATTCCTAGTCTGTGAATTCTGTTCATTGACAATGGTTATGAAACTAATTCTGATTCTGGTTGAATTGTAATAAGTAGCTGCCATCTTGAATTCTGAACTCTCCCACTTTCCAACAGGGAATTCCCACTAGAGGGGCATTCAAGTTTAAATTGATGACTTGTAAATGGGAGATTCCCACCTCCCAGTACAACTGGGCTGTTTCAACAGTAGCCAACTACTTTTAAATCCTGTGCATCTCCACCTAGTGGTAGGATGCCATTTCTTTCTGGGTAAAATATTCGACAAGCATTATGGGAGATGCAGTTTATGGTCAATGCTGTTTTTAGAGCAGCTGATGTTGAGACATTAATAAAGGGTTATTTAAATAGTTCAAAAGTTACTCAAAGCCAACAAGTATTATTGGCTTTTCACCTTTTTAGATTTGTTTATTTTGTTGCATTGAGTCATAAATGTAAAATTTACAACTGATTTTAAAGTCTATTTTACGTGTTCTGCAGGAGCTGCAGCGGGACATAGAGAAGCACAGCACAGGCGTGGCGTCGGTGTTGAACCTGTGTGAAGTGCTGCTGCACGACTGCGACGCCTGCTCCACCGAAACGGAGTGCGACTCCATCCAGCAGGCCACCAGAGGCCTGGACCGGCGCTGGAGGAACATCTGCGCCATGTCCATGGAGAGGAGGCTCAAGTTAGGATCTCCTAAACTCAAATTACTGCTCTGATAGAATCATTCAAACGACCAATCGGGTTTGGAAACATTCATTGCTTTTTTTCCCCCCCTGTGCAGGATTGAAGAGACGTGGAGGCTGTGGCAGAAGTTTCTGGATGATTACTCCAGGTTTGAGGAGTGGCTGAAGACCTCCGAAAAAACGGCAGCGCTGCCCAACTCCTCTGAAGTCCTGTACACCGTCGCGAAAGAGGAGCACAAGAAGTTTGAGGTGTGTATTTGAAACAGAGGTCTATAAAGTACTTGAAAAAAATAGCTAAGGAAAAGTAAAATTACAAGAACAAAAAAGGACTTTGGTAAAAATACATTTCACTGATGAGAAAACTACTCAAGTAAAAGTAATAAAACTGTTCACAAAAATTGGGAAAGTAAAAGTAGTTTTACACTCTCTAATAAATAAATTGTTGAATTTACTGAACCAAACTGGCTCCACTAAGCCAGTTTGAGTAAATTGAGCAATTTATGTATATTCTTTGCTCACTTTACTCAACTAGGCTCAGTGGAACCAGTTGACTTGACTTTGTTGAGTAAATTCAACACTTCATTTTTTTAGAGCGCAGAAACATCTTCTTTCATGATGAGTTATTAAAGGGCCAATATTATGTGTTTTTCAGGCATACATTTAAATACTATACCATAATAAAGTATCTATGTCACCTTTAGCTGTTATTAAAATGCTGTTTTTATGTTTAAATTAAAAATAAACTTATCTTCTCATCACTTCCTCTTCTAAACGCCCTGAAATTGGCCTCTGTCTCTTTAAGAACCATCTTCCGCTTCTGTCTCGCCCATTTCGGTGCAGGGGGGGGGGTATAACATTATAACATGATATAAAACTCAAAAAGTTGATTTAACATGACATTGCCTCTTTAACTACTATGTTTAATTTTGTAACAAGTTACTAGGTGTTAAATTTTAAAGTAAAAAAGTACAAATATCATTTTTAGCTTTAAAATGTAACAAAGTAAAAGTAAAAGTAGCTGTTTAAAAAAATGGTAAAATTACAAATCCTCAAAAAAATACGTAAGTTCTGTAATGAAGTAAATGTACTTAGTTACTGTACACCTCTGATTTCAAATTGTTTATTAAATTCTGCACACAAACTCGTCTGAATAGCCGTGTCAGTATTTTTAATTTCCTTATATCAAGGTCATGTTTTGGTACGAGCAAAGATAAAAACAAAAATCTAAAAAGGCTCCGGGACCTGAGGCAGAGGAGTGTCGTGTTTCTGTTCAGCTGCTGCGGTCCATCTCTCTGAACATTCCTGTTGGACCTTCATCAGGGCATTTCTTTCTTCATAACATGGAAACATGATCCAATTAAAAGCAGATTTTATTTTATTTTTTCACATTTTAAGGTTGAAAATGTAACCATTATAAAAGCAGATCTAAATGTTCATCAAGTTGTTTGTTTGGACACAGGCCTTCCAGCGTCAGGTGCAGGAATGTCTGACCCAGTTGGAACTCATCAACAAGCAGTACCGCCGTCTGGCCCGGGAGAACCGGACGGACGCGGCTTACCGTCTCAAAGAAATGGTGCATGATGGGAACAGGAGGTGGGATAACCTGCAGAAAAGAGTGGCCGCCATCCTGCGCAGACTGAAGGTAGGATCGTTTTTACGACGTTTCGTTTGGATCGAACGATTCCTCTCTAAAAACAAAACTCTTTGTTGGAACAGCACTTCATCAGTCAGAGGGAGGAGTTTGAGACGGCGCGGGACAGCATCCTGGTGTGGCTCACAGAGATGGACCTCCAGCTGACCAACATCGAGCATTTTTCTGAGTGTGACGTTCAGGCCAAAATAAAACAGCTCCGGGTCAGAGCAACTTGGACTTTTTCTTCTTTTATTGTGTCTTTGTGAATTATTAACCCTTTAAACCCCCCTTTTTTTAATGCGCAGGCCTTCCAGCAGGAGATCTACATGAACACGGCAAAGATAGAGCTGGTTTTCAGGCAGGGCGAAGCGCTGATCGAGAAGAGCGAACCTCTGGACGCCGCCATCATCGAGGAGGAGTTAGAGGAGCTGCAGAGATACTGTCAGGAGGTGTTCGGACGAGTGGACAGATACTACAAGAAGCTCACGCGGTTGCCCGTAAGAAAAGGATTTTAAACCGCTGTTTTCTAACCAAGAAGTGACAAACCATTGAGGAGGATTTTTCCGGTCTGTCTCTCCCAGCTGGCGGACGACGAGCTCGATGGTTCAGACAGAGAGCTGGACGTGGAGGAAGGGGGAGACCTCGCTGAGATGCAGTGGGGGGAGTCGGCCTCGCCTCGGACATCCAGCCGCCCACCCTCAGGCGCGGCGGCCATCATTCGGGCCGAGCGCTCGGGTCGAGACACCCCGGCCAGCGTGGACTCCATCCCCTTAGAGTGGGACCACGACTACGACCTGAGCAGAGACCTGGAGAGTCCTGGAGGGCGAGGGGAGCGGAGCCGAGGCCAGGAGGAGGAGGATGAGTATCTGAGGACGTCTGCTACAGTGCTGTCAGGTTGGTCTCACTTCATCCATCCACTGATTGGAGTTGTCTGGATCCATAATAATTTCTAATTTATGCTGTTTTGTAAAACTTTATGTTCATTTAGATTTTTCTCCAAGAACTGTATCCAATATCTGATTTTTATTTAATAAAATTTCTGATCGAACTGTAAAGATTAATTCTACAGTAAAGGAATCTCCTGTAAATCACTTTTTTCCTGTAATATTTAACATTTGGTTAGTAAAAATCTTAAAGGGATCCATGATTAGTTGTAACATTAGACTTTGTTTGTTAAAAGTATATTTTAACTGTAAAATAAAGACTGTAAAAATACTATAGGATGTTTAGTTTTTATCATTTTTAAACTAAAAGTTTAAAAACATATTACACGGATGGGGCCATTTTGTTTACACGCAAAGCATTYTGGGKAAATKATGAYRTCAACTAGGTCMTCGGTGCGAGGCTGCTAGCGAGCTATATCCACCCTGAAGGTTAATCTTGGACAATATCTGATGATCGACTCTTTTAAATGAAACCAGAGAGCGTTGACAGAGAGGAGAAGGTAGAAATGACTCAGCCTGKAACTGAAAATATGGATGGAGGACAACAGAGCTGCTTCATGGAAGAAGAACCCCAGCTTAGCCTTTTAGCTTTAGCATTAGCCCTGACACTATCACCATATATATGTATTAGCTCAGCGCTACACATTCTCCTCTCATCACTGAGGTCCTCCATCCACATGACAGAGAGGGGAACACAAAACTGATTCAGCTGCAACTGAAAATATGGATGGAGGACCTCAGTTTAGCTTGTTAGTTTGTTGAGCTAGCGCTGAGCTAATACATATAAGGCAATATAGCGTTTGCTAGGGTGGATGTTGTATTGGGGGAGCATATAGTGAACGTCATTATTTACCAAGAATGCTTTGCGGTGAAATGATATGGCACAGTCCGTGTGACAATGTAAATTTTTAAAATTCCTTAAAACTGATTAGCATTTTTACAATCTATGTTTTACAGTTGAAGTAAATATTGATCAAATAATGTCTAACTCTATAACTGGGTCCCATTTAACACCAATAAGTGCATAATTCTTTTAAGGGTAGTTACTTTACTGACACCTTTTGTTGAATTATATTTTTGTCTTTTATTATAGTTACAACAAAGGCAAAGTTGGTGTCCTTTTAGCTTGAGCCTTTTGAGAAAACTAACAGAAATCTGAATTGAGAGACAGAAGTAAAGATCCAGATCTGTGTCAGCTGACCCTGTCATCTTACTGAGGACTGCAGTAGAAAAAGTTCTTGTTGTGTCTTTCTTCCCACCCAGATGTAGTTATCCCAGAGAGCCCAGAGGCCTATATAAAACTGACTGAGAACACTTTGAAATCCTCCTCTGGTATGAAAAGGCTTGAGTTAGTGGAGCATGTCATCATCTTTTTTTTTTTAACACTCACTTTGAGTTCTCACTCACACTGGATGCTTCACCGTTTAACAGAACCTTTTATAGCTGCATGTAAAGGTGACGATATAAAGAACCAGTGTCATTTGTTTCATTGCTAATAACGTCAGTGTGGAAAAATTATTTTTATCTTCCTGTTACCATCGTTGCACTAACGCATGGCGATTGTTTTATATCAACAGCATGCAAACTGAAGCTCCCAGTAAAAACTGTATCCTGTGTTCACCTAAAGCCGTTTGTGGGTTTTGTGGTCCAGGTGAGCCGGGTCAACTGGAGGCCAGTCTGAGGCAGCTGGATCAGGCTCTGGACGCAGGGCGCTTCCACCTCCAGCAGAGAGAGGCCGCCGCCGCCGCCAACCGCTCCAGCCCCGACGTCGACTCCACCTACATGGGCTACGTGCGTTTTCTATCTACTTTACTTTAGGGCTAACTTTAACCACTGAGATCAATTTTTTCTTCCATATTTTTTGTGTTTCCTTCTGCGATTTTAAGCTTTTTATGCTTTTTTTCAGCTGTTTTCTACGACAGAGTATTAGGGCCACACAACGAGATTTTTATTTATTACACGAATAAAGTCATAATATTATAACATTAAAGGCGTATAAAAATAAAGTCATAATATTACGAGAATAAAGTCATAATATTACAACATTAAAGGCGTATAAAAATAAAGTCATAATATTACAAGAATAAAGTCATAATACATTAAAGGCGTATAAAATAAAGTCATAATATTACGAGATAAAAGTCATAATATTGTCTTTACACAGAAAAGCATGCAGTTACTGCATTAAAATGAGGATTGTTGAGCAACTTGTCAAGTTGTTCTTTAGTATTGCTATAAATAAATAGTTAATCTTTTAGCACATTTGCATCAAATTATCAGTAGCAGGACTTGGAAATTGTGCAAACGACTATAAACTGAAGCTGTACTGTAATTAATGGATGCATTGACAGATTTAGTCGTCACATAGCTAATATGGATGAAAGCATATTAATCTAACAGTGATGAGTCATCATGGACTACTTTATAAACACAGACACATGCCTGTACAGCAGGTGAGAGGAAAATGAGGAACGGGAAATAGACACGCCATGATTATGACTTTTTTCCCTTGTAATATTATGACTTTATTCTCATAAAATTAATACTTTAATCTCGTAATGATAATAAAAAATCTCATTGTGTGGCCCTAATACTCGGTCGTAGTTTTATGCTAATTTCAGCTGGTTTTTTTTTTGTGTTTTAGCTACTTTTTAGCTAATTTGAGCTTTTGATATCAGCCTTTCTTCTGCTTGAATGTGCTTTTTCTGTTTATTTGTGCCAATTCTAGCTACTTCAACTAAATTCTTTTAGCTATTTTAGGCCAGTTTCAGCTTTTTACTCAGCAAAATGCAAATTTTCTAGTTGTCTTTTTTTTTGTGAAAACCAATAAGCACATGACCTGCCTGATCCTCACAGATGCGTCTGATGGGAGACTGTCGCGGCAGCATCGACGCAGCAAAGAGAGCGGAGGAAGAGCTGACCGAAGACGAGGACGACATGACGGGACTCGGCAACCCCGCCGGCACAGACGCGCAGAACGCAGGTGAGTCACACACACAAACACGCACGCGCAGGTTATTCTCACCACCACAGGCTTCACCTCTCTACTCTCTTTTCCGCACCTTTAGGTGTGATTGAGCGCTGGGAGCTGGTGCAGGCTCAGTCTCTCAGTGAGAAACACAGGCACAAACAGAACCTGCAGCAGTGGCAGCAGCTGATCTCAGACCTGCAGACCACGAGGGCGTGGCTGGGCCAGTCGGAGGCGGAGCTGAGCCGAGCGCGAGGGCTGGACGTCAGCACCAACATCCACAGCATCCAGCAGAGGATCAAGAAGCTCAAGGTTTGTTTGGTGGTTTTCGCTTTTTCCTTATCAGTTCTGTACATGAATACATAATTTGTACCTACTGTTAAAGGTCAGCGCTAAATGTTAGCAAGTTTGTGCTTCAGGCTACCGGAACACAAACATGTCAGTCTCTGGTTCAACCTTTTCATTAGCTATTCAACTCACTGCTGCTTTGGAAAAATTTCACATTTATGATAAATATCAGTCTGGGTTTAGGAAGAAGCATTCTACAGAGACAGCATTGTTGAGGGTTTCAAATGATCTGCTAATGTCGCGAGGTTGGTGATAGTTCAGTTTTAGTATTACTTGACCTCAGTTCTTCATTTGATACCGTAGATCACCATATCTCATTAGACAGGTTAAGAAACTGGATGGGTTTATCTGGTTCAGTATTAGTGGTTTTCATCATAATTTAGTGAAAGACGTTTTACAGTGACGATTGTTTCTGATTCATCTCCTGTAACTTGTGGAGTTCCACAGGGATCAGTTTTGGGGCCTTTGTTGTTTTCTTTATACATGCTTCCCTTGGATCTGATCATTGAAAGTTTTAACATTCCTTATCATTTATTTGCTGACATTCAACTTCACTTCTCATTTAAGGCAAATGACTTTTGTTCTCTACATAAGCTCATTACTTCCTTGGATGCTGTAAGGAACTGGTTAGGTTTTTGAAAATGACATTGATTGGGAGGTGACTTCTCCAAAAAGATATTTTTTCTAACGACGTGCAGCTGTGATGTTTGTGTACAAGCTAATGTGTCAGAATGGTATATATTTATACTTCTCATCCAACCACAATTAAATTCACTCTATCCAGGAGACGCAATTTATCAGGATAGTATTTTTTTAAGTGAAAACAACTCGGAATAAAATAGGAGTAACGACTTTCTACTTCTTACCTTTTTTTTAAAATGTAGTGAGTAGAAAGTACAGATAGTTGTGTAAAAATGTAATGAGTAAAAATAAAAAGTATGCTGAAAAATAATTACTCAAGTAAAGTGTAGATAACCAAAATTTCTACTTAAGTACAATGAAGTATTTGTACTTAGTTACTTTACAACTCTTATACTAGTGCAAAATATCTACTGTCTACAATGATTATTTCTCCCACACGTTAGCGCCTCATCCGTTCTCAGCTTCTGTTATCTAGTAGCACCCTAACCTCGGCTCAGCACCTCTGTAAACACACCCGGCTGCAAATAACCTGACATCTCCTCCGATCAGGAGCTGCAGAGGGGAATGGAAGCTCACAAGTCCGAGGTCCTCTCCATAAACCTGAGCAGCGCGGACTTCCTCCAATCGGAGCCCGACTCTGAGGAGGCCTGGGAGCTGCGGGACCGGCTGAAGGAGATGAACTCGCGCTGGGATCGACTGGGCGTCTCGCTGGAGGACTGGCGAGAGGAGCTGCAGAGGGCGCTGATGCAGTGCCAGGTACTGGATGTTGTGTACACACTTTGACACACAGGCTGCAGCACGACTGGTGGGTTTTCACCACTTGTTTGTGTATGAAAGCCTCTCATGGCTTAAAACTGTCACTTTTCAATGGTAAACGCATCATCTTAAAGGGTTCCATGATTAGTTGTAACATTAGACTTTATTTATAAACATATATTTTAACTGTAAAAATACTGTAGGATGTTCAGTTTTTATAATCTTTAAACTAAAAGTTTAAAAATATATTTTAACATGGATGGAGTCATTTAATTTACACGCAAAGCATTCTGGGTAAATGATGACGTGGATAGGTCCTCGGTGTGAGTGACCTATATCCACCCTGAAGGTTAATCTTGGACAATATCTGATGATCGACTCTTTTAAATGAAACCAGAGGTTGATAGAGGAGAAGGTAGAAATGACTCAGCCTGTAACTGAAAATATGGATGGAGGACAACAGAGCTGCTTCATGGAAGAAGAACCTCAGCTTAGCCTGTTAGCCTTTGTGCTAGCGCTGACACTATATTGCCTTTTATGTATTAGCTCAGTGCTAGCGCAACAGACAAGCTAAACAGGTCCTCCATCCATATTTTCAGTTACAGCCTGAGTCATTTTTGCGTTCCTCTCTCTGTCATGTGGATGGAGGACCTCAGTAATGGGAGGAGAATGTGTAGCGCTGAGCTAATACATGTATATATATGGTGATAGCGTCGGGGTTAACGCTAAAGCTAACAGGCTAAACTGAGGTCCTCCATCCATATTTTCAGTTCCAGGCTGAGTCATTTCTACCTTCTCCTCTCTGTCAACGCTCTCTGGTTTCATTTAAGAGTCGATCATCAGATATTGTCCAAGATTAACCTTCAGGGTGGATATAACTCGCTAGCAGCCTCGCACCGAGGACCTATCCACGTTATCATTTACCCAGAATGCTTTGCGTGTAAATAAAATGACTCGGTCCTTGCAATGTATTTTTAAAAATTTACAAAACTTAACAGCCTACAGTATTTTTACAGTCTTTATTTTACAGTTAAAATAAATGTTTATCAAATAAAGTCTAATGTTACAACTAATCATGGATCCCTTTAATGATGACTTTTCTTTCCAGGAGTTTCATGAGCTGAGCCACGGTCTGCTGCTGTGGTTGGAGAACATCGACCGCAGGAGGAACGAGGTGGTGCCCGTCCCTCTGAAAGCCGACCGGGAAACGCTACGAGCTCATCACAGAACACTGACGGTATGTTTGCATCGCCTCATTTCCTCTGGATGAATCAGACGGTGAGCTTCTTCAGCGGTTTTTGAAGTGCAGCAGCTTTGAGGTCTTTCCTCTCCGTTCGTCCTCCTGCAGCAAATCAAATGCGAGCTGCTGGACTCGCAGCAGAAAGCCTCGTCCCTGCAGGAGCTGTCGGCACAGCTGCTGGTCAGCACCAAACCTTCGGGCCTGCGCTCGCCGGAGCAGACGTGGGCTCAGAGCAGCCAGTGCCTGGAGGCCCGCGAGAAGGTCCACGTGATCTGGAACAGGCTGAAGCTTCTTCAGAGGGAGGTTGGCTCAGACCTGGAGGGGCTGGAGATGAGACTGGAAGCCCTGGACAGGCCTCAGCAGGTCCGGTGGACGCCAGCTTGTTTATGTTGTACCTTTCCTTTTGTTTCTGACCCTTAAAGCTCTTGTTCTGTTTGCAGGGTTGCCTATCAGGATTAACAGGAAAACTAGAAATCTGCGGATCCACAAGTCCTGAAACAGAGAAGACCGTCCAAAACCGCAAACAATCGGTAAAGTTATTAATCTTGATAATCAGGCGGAAAATAACACCTTCCTAATCATTTCTTTTCCCCCAAATGAGACATGTAGTAGTTATTACCACTCCTTTATTTTATGAATACATTATTTTTCACTTTGCAGTTGTTCTGCTAACATGTAGAGAAGAATCTGTTGCTGCACCCCTCCTACCTGCCTTTTTATGAAATGTTTTGTTGCCCCCCTACTGTGGAGCTAAATTGAGGCCATAAAGTTTGTTCAAAAAATTTTTTTAACTAAAAGAAAAAAAATGTAAAACCAAAATCAAATTATTTGAACTAAAAATTAATTTTGAAATTTAAAAAAAAATGATGACATTGGAAAAAAAATGACACAATGGCCTGTCATACTTTGTTAATTATATGACCCAGCCATACTTTTTAATTATATCATACAACGGCCTGACATAATTTTAGATTATATGGCACAAGGGCCTGCCAACCTTCATAAATTATATGATATAATGGCCTGCCATACTTCATTAATTACATAATACAACAACCTGACATATTTTTTAGACTATATGGCACAATGTTATATTTTCTAATCTCTTTCAATCTTTCCAATTATATTTCCTCTTTTTCTCTCTCTCTCTCTTTTCCTCTTTCTCCGAAAAAAACAAGTCAGTGATGATGAAGAAATTAAGAAACTAATATTAATATTCAGTTATTTTTCTACTGAGGTGACAAAATAAGTCTTTATGGCACAATGGCCTGCCAAACTTCATAAATTATATGATATAATGGCCTGCCAAACTTCATTAATTACATAATACGACCGGATAAATTTTGTGTATTGTATTGTATGACATAAAGGCCTGCCATACTTGTTAATTATATGATGCAACGGCAAGTCATACCTCGTTAACTATGTGATGCAATGACCTGCTATATTTTCAAGTTATGTGACACAGTGGTCTGCCATACTTCATTGATCATATGATACAAAGACCTGCTAAACAACAAAATGCCTTACATATACATAATATAAGTAAATTAGAACTTTATCAGAATAATTTTTTTGTTGCAAAAAATGTTTTAAACCTTTTTATTCCAGTTCCAAAATTTTTCTTTTTGTTTAAATTTTTTTAACAAACTTTATGGCCCCACGTTAGCCCCATACTCCACCACATTTGACTAACAAGAAAACCTGGCTTCGTTTTTAGAGTACAGTTTGTTGAAAGGTGTTTTTAATTTAAATAAGGTTTAAACGTCTTTAAATGAATCTGAAGATGAGAAGCCAGATTTCTTGGTTCAGAAATTCAGTCACCCTCATGGATTATGTTGCTGCTCTGATGATTATTGCTTTAGCGAATGTTACGGCTCTCTCTTTATGTTATTATTAGTTTTTTTTTTCTCTCTCATCTTTGAGGCTTTGCCTTTATTTGCCTTTGACTGAAACATTTTTTTTCTTTCTTTTACCCCTCCCTGCTCATTGCGTGGTACAGCCCCGAGCCAAAAGTAGTCAGGCCCACCCAGGACCCCCTGAGAGCGGCTCGCGCCACAGGTACCTCACTCCTGGTCTCCAGAAACTTGGGATGATGATGGAACCAAACATAGAAACATGTCTAACACACAATCACATTCATTGATTATTTGGAGTTGTTAAATGATTTGATTTTGCAGTTTTATTAGTTGAAGGTGTTCCATGATCTTCCTTCCTACTCTGGAGACCGTTTTGTTAAACTCGTCTGAATCAGGCGGTTCCTTTTCTCCTTTAAATGTTTCTTTTTCTCTCTGCTTTGCTGCTGTTTTGATTCGCTTGATGACTTATTGCCTTGCAACATTTGTTTCCCCTCACTTCTCTGAGCCTTGTAGTTCCCTCGTCAGCCACCAGATGGCACTAACTCCGCCTCCGAGCCTCCAGCTTGTTTTTCTCTCCCATGTTTCCTTCCTGTTTCATTCCCTTCATAGTTCTGCAGCAGGATGTGATGCTTTAACCCCTGTCGGGTTTCCTGCTACGTTAACTCCCACTCTGTCCTCCGTTTCCTCACCAAAACCTCTGACTACTTATGATTTATAACCTACACTCCTCCTTTTGTTATTTTTTAAATCGACAGGACTCAGCCTAAATTTCTCCAGCTCTGCTCTAAATATTTTTATTCCCACCTCGTAATGTCACATATTAGACTCTGGTATTTAAAACACGACACGTGCCTCCTCACGGCTCCTGTAAGGAGGAGGAAGAGGGAATGAAATTCGGCGGCGGGGGCCAAGTAGCTGGAGGGGACGTGAGCGTTTGACCCTCCCGCAGCCTCAGCGAGGATGAGTCGCAGGAAGAGAACATTATGTTCCTCCCCCTTTGAACTTGGCTCGAGCTCTGGAACTCTCCAGAGGTTTTTTTTTTTTTCTGTTTGGAATGATACGTGGCATTGAACTCTCACATATTCGGCTCAACAACCAGAGCGTCCACCCCCCCACCCTTCTCCAGAGACTCACTATCTATGAATGGCTGCGTTCAGATATGTGTTGTTTTTGTGTTCGTGCCCGTTCTGTGCAGGTGTCATCGCGCACCTTTGATCCTTCTCTTTGATTTGCTTCTGTTTTCTATTTAACATAACCTCAAACTATCAAATTATTTTCAGTTCATTCATTCAATTGTTTTTTTTTTTTTTTTTGGCTTGAAAATCTTCACTTTTGTTTGGGTCTTCCTGCAGCCGGAGCACATCACCAGGCGCCGCTGGCTGCGTTTCCTCCCGTTCTGAGCTTCCCGGCGGCGCCTCCTCCTCCTCCTCCTCCTCCTCAAAGCACCAGTCCTTCCTGCTTCGAGTCTTCAGGGCCGCGCTCCCCGTCCACTTGCTCCTCCTGCTCCTCATCGGCCTGGCCTGCCTGGTGCCCATGACGGAGGAGGACTACAGCTGCCACCACGCCAACAACTTCGCCCGCTCCTTCCACCCGATGCTGCGCTACACCAACGGACCTCCGCCCGTATGAGCCGCGGGGGGCGGGGAGACAGACTTCCTCTGACTCTGCGTTAACGTTGCACATCCTCTCTCACATTAACCCTTTAAAGAAACACTCACCGTAGACGGAGCTTCACCTCCTCCTCCTCAGTCCAAATATTTCTTGTTTTAACTTAAATGTGTATATTTTTAATGTTTCTGACAAAACGTGTGAAATGGCAAAAAAAAAACTATTTATAATATTTATGTTGGGAGCCAAAGTCAGCTGTGCTTTTCGTCCATGATATATCCAGTGCTGCTAGTATTATTTAATGTTCAATCAGCTAATGTGTTGTTAGCACTGATTAGGCTAAAGCCCCACCATGAGTGGATGGATGGATGGATGGATGGATGGATGGATGGATGGATGGATGGATGGATGGATGGATGGATGGATGGATGGATGGATGAGGATGGGGGGTATTGTTCCTGTAATCTTTAGAGTAGACTTGCAGTTTGAGTAGCAATCATTAACAGTCTCTGGGTGTGAAGAGTTTCATTCCAAAATGACACATTTGAAGATCTGCTCAGACAAAAAAAAGTGACTGAAATGACACAAAAACCCTTCTGAATGAGCTGTAGCTTTTTTATATATATATTTTAAAAAAAGCCTGCCTGAGTTTAAAATGAAGTGATGATAAAGAAAAGAAAACAACTGAACTCTTAGCACTGATAAAGGTACGGCACTAAAGCCCTCCGGACTTCCTTCCACTAAAGCCACGGCTTCGTTTTGTGTGTTTATTTTATTTTATTTTAATATTTAGTATTTAACTATTTAAAAAAGAAAAAAAGAAGCAAATTTGCTGTCAATCAACTGTTATGTATATTTTTGTTGAGAAAAAAAAAAGCCTCTGAAAAGGAGGCAGTTATTTTTTTAATCCTTCTGCTTTGAGCATGAAGCCAACCAATCACAGCTCGTGTTTTTAAGTGAACGTAGTGTGCTTTGTTAATAACCGCCTCATTATCCTGCGAATCACAGCGCTGGTAAAAACTATCTGTTCAAAAATTAAACAAATAAATAATAATGTTATTTATGTATGTACAGTTTGCTAATTCAGGAAGATTTACTCTCTTTTACAAATAAAACATGAAGTATTTAAGTTTGGGTGTTCTTGGAGGAATTTTTTATTTTTTTTGGGGGGCGGTGTAATAGAAAAACAGCACGGAACAAGAACTTGTGCTTTTGTTTACATGCACAGTAAACATTTGATAAGAGGTCCGGTTTGGCTGGATTTCTACTGAAGGGTCTGTTTCCCACACGGGGGGTCAACAGAACCTGAACTGACTAAACACTGTTTTTAGGACACGTTCTTTTGATTACATCATTATATAAGCATCACTTAGTCTTTGGGAAACAATGATTTATAAACTTTAAAGCATCAATTTCAAGGACTTTCCAGTACCAATTTCCTCAAATTAAAGAACCACGCGCAACAGCAATTACCTGCTGCTACCGCAGAATGTAACCAATAAACAGGTTTAATATGTAAAATTCAATGAAAAATTGAACATGACGTCAGTTTACTGAGTTATCTGCCAAAACAAATGTTTTTTTTTTCATAATTTATTTTTTAAAAGATGTTGAAAATCAGTCATGTGAATAGAGAATTTCAATCCCCCCAAAACATTCAAGGACTTTCAAGGACAAGTGTAATTTTTGGATGTTTTCACAAACTTTCCAGGGCCTTGAAGTAATTTTTTTTCAAATTCACAAACTTTCAAGGACCTGTGGGAACCCTGTAAAACAAAAAGTAAGTAAATTTGTGTTTGGTAAATCCTTTCTTTGCTTATACCGTTGGAAAGCCTGTTAAGTTCCCTTTTAATTGGTGCCACATTTGTAAGGAACATGCATTTGTGGGATGAGCGGTACAGCTGAGTGTGTGGGTTGCGCACCATGAAAAATTTGCCAAATCTTCCCTATCAAACAGCTTATTTTGTAGTTTGTTTTGAACTTCTATTCCGTCGTCACTGTTATATATAAGATGTGTATTGTACATTATCTAAAAAAAAAGTAATGTTAACAAAAAACCAAAATAACCTTTAGAGTTAAGCTGATTCAAGATGGCCGCCACAGCCAAATGATTTTAAAAATTACAAAAATGTGTCAGTTTTACAGATATTGGACTAAGATTTGTAGTGGTAGTAGCTGAGAGTTAATCTAAACCATGTGTCAAACTCAAGGATGGCGGGCCAAATCTGGCCCTCGTTAACATTTTGTCTGGTCCCAGAGGTAATACTCTAAATCAGGGGTGCCCAAACATTTTTCCTGAAAGGGCCAAAATAAAAATCAATCTGAGGGTGGTGGGCCAAATTCAATAATATAATACACGAAATGCAAATACTTCAAAAAAAGTTGTATTTTTTATGATTAAGCTAGCAGCCAGTGCGGTTGCCCACATTTTTTTGTTTGTGTTTTTTTTTTTCAGCCCATGGAC